GTTAGTCAGTCTACCAGAAAGGTAGGGTTAGGTTTAGTGTTAGGTTTAGGTTAAACAAACTGGGAAGGTAGATTTAGATTTAGGGTTAGTCTACTGGGATGGTAGGTTTAGGCTTAGTCAGTCTACTGAGAAGGTAATGTTTAGGGTTAGTCAGTCTTCCGGGAAGGTACGGTTAGGTTTAGGGTCAGTCAGTCTACTGGGAAGGTAGGGTTAGGTTTAGGGTTAGTCAGTATACCGGGAAGGTAGGTTTAGCTTTAGTGTTAGTCAGTCTACCGGGACTGTAGGGTTAGGTTTAGGGTTAGTCAATCTACCGGAAACGTAGGGTTAGGTTTAGGGTTAGTCATTCTACCGGAAAGGTAGGGTTACGTTTAAGGTTAGTCAGTCTACAGGTAAGGTAGGGTTAGGTTTAGGGTTTGTCAGTCTACTGGGAAGGAAGGGTTAGGTTTAGTGTTAGTCACTCTATTGAGAAGGTAAGGTTAGGTTTAAGGATAGTCAGTCTACTGGAAAGGTAGGGTTAGGTTTAGGGTTAGTCAGTCTACTGGGAACGTATGTTTATGTTTAGGGTTAGTCAGTCTACTCGAACGATAGGGTTAGGTTTAGGGTTAGTCAGTATACCTGGAAGATAAGGTTAGGTTTAGGGATACTCAGTCTACCGGGAAGGTAGGGTTATGTTTAGGGTTAGTCACTCTACCGAGAAGGTTGGGTTAGTTTTAGGGTTAGTCAGTCTACCGGGATGGTAGAATTAGGTTTAGGGTTAGTCAGTCTACTGGGGAGGTAGAATTAGGTTTAGGGTTAGTCAGTCTACTGGGAAGGTAGGGTTAGGTTTAGGGTTAGTCAGTCTACCGGGAAGGTGAGGTTTAGGGTTAATCAGTCTATCGAGAAAGTAGGGTTCGTTTTAGGGTTAATCAGTCTACCGAGAAGGTAGGGTTAGATTTAGGGTTAGTCACTCTACTGAGAAGGTACTGTTAGGTTTAGGGCTAGTCAGTCTACTGGGAAGGTAGGGATAGATTTAGGGTTTGTCATTCTACTGAGAAGGTACGGTTTAGGGTTAGTTAGCCTACCGGGAAGGTATGGTTAGGTTTACGGTTATTCTGTGTACCGGGAAGGTAGGGTTATGTTTAGGGTTCGTCAGTCTACCGGGACGGTAGGGTTAGGTTTAGGGTTAGTCACTGCACTGCGAAGGTAGGATTAGGTTTAGGGTTAGTCAGTGTACTGGGAAGATTGGATTAGGTTTAGGGTTTGTCAGTCTACTGGGGAGGTAGGGTTAGGTTTAGGGTTAGTCAGTCTACTGGGAAGGTATAGTTAGGTTTAGGGTCAGTCAGTCTACCGAAAAAGTAGAGTTAGGTTTAGGGTTAGTCAGTCTACCGAGAAGGTAGGGTTAGATTTAGCGTTAGTCAGTCTACTGGGACGGTAGGGTTAGGTTTATGGTTAGTCAGTCTACTGGGAAGGTATGTTTAGGTTTAAGGTTAGTCAGTCTACAGGGAAAGTAGGGTTAAGTGTAGGGTTAGTCAGTCTACGGAAAAGGTAGGGTTAGGTGTAGGGTTAGTCAGTCTACCGGAAAGGTAGACTCTACCGGAAAGGTTTAGGGTTAGTCAGTCTACCTGGAAGGTAAGGTTTAGGGTTAGTCAGTCAACTGGGAAAGTAGGTTTAGGGTTAGACACTCTACCGTAAACGTAGGGTTAGGTTTAGGGTTAGTCAGTGTACTGGGAAGATTGGGTTAGGTTTAGGGTTAGTCAGTGTACTGGGAAGGTAAGGTTTAGGGTTAGTCAGTCTATTGCGAAGGTATGGTTAGGTTTAGGGTTAGTCACTCTACTGCGAAGGTATGGTTAGGTTTAGGGTTAGTCATTCTACCGAGAATGTAGGGTTAGGCTTAGGGTTAGTCAGTCCACTGGGAATGTAGGGTTAGTTTTAGGGGTAGTCAGTCAACTGGGAAGGTAGGATTATGTTTAGGGTTAGTCAGTCTACCGGAAATTTAGGTTTATGTTTAGTCAGTGTACTGGGCAGGTAGGGTTAGGTTTAGGGTTAGTCACTCTACTGGGAAGGTATGGTTAGGTTTAAGGTTAGTCAGTCTACAGGGAAGGTAGGGTTAGGTGTAGGGTTAGTCAGTCTACCGAAAAGGTAGGGTTAGGTTTAGGGTTAGTCAGTCTACTGGGACGGTAGGGTTAGGTTTATGGTTAGTCAGTCTACTGGGAAGGTATGTTTAGGTTTAAGGTTAGTCAGTCTACAGGGAAAGTAGGGTTAAGTGTAGGGTTAGTCAGTCTACGGAAAAGGTAGGGTTAGGTGTAGGGTTAGTCAGTCTACTGGAAAGGTAGACTCTACCGGAAAGGTTTAGGGTTAGTCAGTCTACCTGGAAGGTAAGGTTTAGGGTTAGTCAGTCAACTGGGAAAGTAGGTTTAGGGTTAGACAGTCTACCGTAAACGTAGGGTTAGGTTTAGGGTTAGTCAGTCTACTGGGAAAGTAGGTTTAGGGTTAGACAGTCTACCATAAACGTAGGTTTAGGGTTAGTCAGTCTACTGGGAAGGGAAGGTTTAGGGTTAGTCAGTCTACTGGGAAAGTACGGTTAGGTTTAGGGTTAGTCAGTCTATCGAGAAAGTACGGTTAGGTTTAGGGTTAGTCAGTCTACTGGGAAGGTAGGGTTAGGTTTAGGGTTAGTCACTCTAATGAGAAGGTAGGGGTAGGTTTAGGGTTAGTCAGATTACTGGGAAGGTAGGATTAGGTTTACGGTTAGTCAGTCTACCGAGAAAGTAGGGTTAGGTTTAGGGTTAGTCAGTCTATTGCAAAGTTAGGGTTAGGTTTAGGGTTAGTCAGTGTACTGGGAAGATTGGGTTAGGTTTAGGGTTAGTCAGTGTACTGGGAAGGTAAGGTTTAGGGTTAGTCAGTCTATTGCGAAGGTATGGTTAGGTTTAGGGTTAGTCACTCTACTGCGAAGGTATGGTTAGGTTTAGGGTTAGTCATTCTACCGAGAATGTAGGGTTAGGCTTAGGGTTAGTCAGTCCACTGGGAATGTAGGGTTAGTTTTAGGGGTAGTCAGTCAACTGGGAAGGTAGGATTATGTTTAGGGTTAGTCAGTCTACCGGAAATTTAGGTTTATGTTTAGTCAGTGTACTGGGCAGGTAGGGTTAGGTTTAGGGTTAGTCACTCTACTGGGAAGGTATGGTTAGGTTTAAGGTTAGTCAGTCTACAGGGAAGGTAGGGTTAGGTGTAGGGTTAGTCAGTCTACCGAAAAGGTAGGGTTAGGTTTAGGGTTAGTCAGTCTACCGGGAACGTATGGTTAGGTTTGGGGTTAGTCAGTCTACTGGGAAGGTAGGGTTAGGTTTAGGGTTAGTCACTTTACTGAGAAGGTAGGGTTAGGTTTAAGGATTGTCAATCTACTGGGAAGGTAGAGTTAGGTATAGGGCTTGTCAGTCTACTGGGAAGGTAGGTTTAGGTTTAGGGTTAGTCAGTCTACTGGGAAGGTAGGGTTAGTCAGTCTATCGAGAAAGTAGGTTTAAGTTTAGGGTTAGTCAGTCAAATCAAATCAAATCAATAGTCATTCTACTGGGAAGGTAGGGTTAGGTTTAAGGTTAGTCAGTCTACTGGGAAGGTATTGTTAGGTTTAAGGTTAGTCAGTCTACTGGGAAGGTATTGTTAGGTGTAGGGTTAGTCAGTCTACCGAGAAAGTAAGGTTTAGGGTTAGTCAGTCTACCGGGAAGGTGGGGTTAGGTTTAGGGTTAGTCAGTCTACTGGGAAGGTAAGGTTTAGGGTTAGTCAGTGTACTTCGAATGTAAGGTTTAGGGTTAGGGTTGTCAGTCTACCGGGAACATAGGCTTAGGTTCAGGGTTAGTCTGTCTACTGGGAAGGTAGGGTTAGGTTTAGGGTTAGTCACTCTACTGAGAAGGTACGGTAAGGTTTAGGGTTAGACAGTCTACTGGGAAGGTAGGGTTAGGTTTAGGGTTAGTCAGTCTACTGGGAAGTTAGGGGAAGTCAGGAGAGTTAGGGTTAGGGTTAGTTAGTCTACAGGGAATGTAGGGGAAGGTGGGAGGTTTCGGGTTAGGGTTAGGCAGTCTAATGGGAATGTAGGGGAATGCGGGAGGGTTAAGGTTAGGGTTAGGTTTAGGGTTAGTCAGTCTACTTGGAATGTAGGGGAAGGCGGGAGGGTTAGGGTTAGGGTTAGGTTTAGGGTTAGTCAGTCTACTTGGAATGTAGGGGAAGGCGGGAGGGTTAGGGTTAGATTTAGGGTTAGTCAGTCTAATGGGAATGTAGGGAAAGGCAGGAGGGTTAGGGTTAGGTTTAGGGTTAGTCCGTCTACTGGGAAGGTAGGGGAAGGCGGGAGGAAATAATACAACACAATGTATAATAAACATTGATAATATAATAAAGACATTGCACAAATGTGTAAATTAGTAAAATTACCAGCAAATTGAGTCAACCCCTTCCTCTTTTCCTTTTCTACTCTCCCCTCCTCTCTCCTCTCTGCCTCTCCATCCTACTCTCCCCTCCCTCCTCTCCCCTTCTCTCCCCTCCTCTCTCCTCCCTGCCTCTCCCTCCTCCTCTCTCCTCCCTTCTCTCCCTCCCCTCCTCTCCCCTCCCTCCTCTCCTCTCCCCTCCTCTCTCCTCTCTGCCTCTCCCTCCTACTCTCCCCTCCCTCCTCTCCCCTTCTCCCCTCCTCTCTCCTCCCTTGCCTTTCCCTCCTACCTCTCCCTCCTCCCTCCTCTCCCCTTCTCCCCTCCTCTCTCCTCCCTGCCTCTCCCTCCTCCTCTCCCCTCCTCTCCCCCCTCCTCTCTTCCTCTCCCTCCCCTCTCCTCTCCCTCCTCCTCTCCCTTTCCCTCTCACCTTCTCCTATCCTCCTCTCCCCTTCTCTCCCTTCCTCTCTCCTCCTTCCAGGACTCCTTTTCCGTCGCTCCTTTTCTCTCCCTCATCTCCCCCTCTCTCCCCTGCTCTCCCTCCTCCTCTCCTCGCCTCTCCCTCTCTACTCTCCTTCCCTCTCTCTCCCCTTTGCCTCTCACCTTCTCTCTCTGTAGGATTTTGTGTTCTATGCGCCGCGGTTGCGGATCAACAAGCGTATCCTGGCGCTGTGCATGGGGAACCACGAGCTGTACATGAGGAGGAGGAAGCCTGACACCATCGAGGTTCAGCAGATGAAGGCCCAGGCCCGGGAGGAGAAACACCACAAACAGATGGAAAGGTACAGGAGGAACACGTGCAGTCATGTAGTTGTGATTCTGACCAGAAGGGGGCAGCATTTTATTAAAATATGTCTGGTCTGTACCAGAGCCACTTAAAGGGTGAATCTCTGTATTCCCTTGATTCCTCAAAGGAGGTGAGAAGAGCGGACATTGGGAATTACAGAAATTCAATTGAAATATTAGCCTGATCCACCATCCTGACAGCTGCTCTCGTGTGTCCAATGAGGCTATTTAGAGACAGCCATGGACTGGATATCTCTATTGCTCTTATGTGCATTTTTGTGTCTTACCTTTTTGTAAAGCATTTCGAAGTTGCAGAATGTTGTACCTGTGTTGTGATCATATTTTATACATCAAAATATAGTTTGATATTGAATGATATGAGTAGTATATTCAACAATTCATTTAATTTAATTTGAATATATTATTAGCCCAGGTATTTTCATCAACTGAACCTGGCCTCTTTTGTTTTACAGAGCCCAGCTAGAAAACGAGAAGAAAAAACGAGCACATGCAGAGAAGGAGAGGGAGAAGATAGAGAAAGAGAAGGACGAGCTAGTCGAGAGACTCAGACAGATTGAGGAACAGACGCTAAAGGCCCAGAAAGGTATCTACATCTCAACACGCACACACATGAACACACATTACACACACACACACACGCATTACACACACGCACACACACACAAGCAAAGGATACAACTTCAGAGGAACAATGTAAAGGAGCCTGATTTGCATCATCTCACTTCTTTTTAAATATCACAGGTTAACCATGCAACCAACACCTTGGAGTAACACTAACACCCACTGTAGTTCACAGCTGGTGTTCAGACACTCAATTACCACAGAACAAGTTCACAGCTACAGTACGCAACACTGGGATTTGCATACTAGCCTCTTGTTAGGAGGAGTGAGGAATGGGCTATCATTTAGAGATGGGTTATCATTTAGAGACCATAGGATGACTGCTAGCTGTTTTATCATGTTACAGGGAAGGGGGACATGAACATTCATTCTCTATATTGTTGGCCCTTGACTTGTAGCACAACAGCCGTCATAACCGAAAAGGGCAGAACACACCTGGGGCGTATTTACATAGAGTGAATGGCTGGAGGGAGAGAGTTAGCTACAGCCCTGAAATCCACAGCAGATCTAACGAATCACTGCAGATCCATTCTGTAGGTAAAAGGCAGGAGTTTATTTGCTTGGCTGAGATAAAATTATACGATCCCGAAAGGGCCATTCATATCAGAATCAGACTGATTTATTTCTACAGTATGGTGCCTCTAGAAATGCTCTCATCAAATATAGGTCAGGCCTCTCTCAGAGGTATCTCTCTGTTTCCCTATATAAACACTGGTGTTCCATGGGAGATTATTAAAGTCCTCCTCTTGTGTTTCATGACATAAAGAGATGAATGTGTGAATGTACACTACTGTTCAAAAGTTTGGGGTCATTTAGAAATGTCCTTGTTTTCCATGAAAACATACATGAAATGAGTTTGAAAAGGAAATATTGCAAAATGCATAGGAAATGTAGTCATTGACAAGGTTAGAAATAATGATTTTTAATAGAAATAATAATGGTGTCCTTCAAACGTTGCTTTCGTCAAAGAATCCTCCATTTGCAGCAATTACAGCCTTGCAGACCTTTGGCATTCTAGTTGTACATTTGTTGAGGTAATCTGAAGAGATTTCACCCCATGCTTCCTGAAGCACCTCCCACAAGTTGGATTGGCTTGATGGACACTTCTTACGTACCATACGGTCAAGCTGCTCCCACAACAGCTCAATAGGGTTGAGATCCGGTGACTGTGCTGGCCACTCCATTATAGACAGAATACCAGCTGACTGCTTCTTCCCTAAATAGTTATTGCATAGTTTGGAGCTGTGCTTTGGGTCATTGTCCTGTTGTAGGAGGAAATTGGCTCCAATCAAGCGCCGTCCACAGGGTATGGCATGGCATTGCAAAATGGAGTGATAGCCTTCCTTCTTCAAGATCCCTTTTACCCTGTACAAATCTCCCACTTTACCACCACCAAAGCACCCCCAGACCATCACACTGCCTCCACCATGCTTGACAGATGGCATCAAGCACTCCTCCAGCATCTTTTCATTTGGTCTGCATCTCACAAATGTTCTTCTTTGTCCATAACAATTTTTTCCAATCTTCCTCTGTCCAGTGTCTGTGTTCTTTTGCCCATCTTCATATTTTATTTTTATTGGCCAGTCTGAGATATGGCTTTTTCTTTGCAACTCTGCCTAGAAGGTCAGCATCCCGCAGTCGCCTCTTCACTGTTGATGTTGAGACTGGTGTTTTGCGGGTACTATTTAATGAAGCTGCCAGTTGAGGACCTGTGAGGCGTCTGTTTCTCAAACTAGACACTCTAATGTATTTGTCCGATGTACGAGATCTTCAGTTTCTTGGCAATTTCTCGCATGGCATAGCCTTAATTTCTCCGAACAAGAATAGTCTGACGAGTTTCAGAAGAAAGTTATTTGTTTCTGACCATTTTGATTCTGTAATTGGACCCACAATTGTTGATGCTCCTGATACTCAACTAGTCTCAAGAAGGCCAGTTTTATTGCTTCTTTAATCAGCACAACAGTTTTCAGCTGTGCTAACATCATCGCAAAAGGGTTTTCTAATGATCAATTAGCCTTTTAAAATGATAAACTTGGATTAGCAAACACAACGTGCCATTGGACACAGGACTGACGGTTGCTGATAATGGGCCTCTGTACGCCTATGTAGATATTCCATTAAAAATCAGCCGTTTCCAGCTACAACAACATTAACAATGTCTACACTGTATTTCTGATCAATTTGATGTTATTTTAATGGACAAAAAATTTGCTTTTCTTTCGAAAACAAGGACATTTCTATGTGACCCCAAACTTTTGAACGGTAGTGTATGTCAGGAAAGATGGGTGCACTCTTGCTAAGATCTGATTATATTTGTCATACAGTACATTGTTGTAATCAGTAATTGTGTGTGTGTCTGTCTGTGCACGCTCATACAGAGCTGGAGGAGCAGACGCGCAGGGCCCTGGAGTTGGACCAGGAGAGGAAGAGAGCGAAGGAGGAGGCGGAGAGGTTGGAGGGAGAGAGACAGGCAGCGGAGGAGGCCAAGGCAGCGCTGGCTAAACAGTCCGCTGACCAGATGAAGAACCAGGAACAACTGGTAACACTTCACTTCACATCACCACTTTGGATCAGGGCTCCATTCACATACTTTCAGTGCATCCTTCTTTCCTTCCTTCCTTGAAGAAATCACTGATTTTATATTAAATGATTGATGAATGCAATATAATAGACACCTTACTCAACTTTCTATTTATTGATTACCTGAAGGAAGGATGTACAGGTATTAGTGTCATTAAAACCATGTACATATACCTACTGTAGACAGGTATAATTCTCTAAGTCATCGGTCTCCTCTGGATTGTCCAACACACTAAAACCTTTGTAAACACTCTAACCTACAACATATCTGCACTGTACCTGCTATATTATTATCACATCAATACATACGGTTCTATGTAAATGAGTGGCACTGACTGACCTCTTGTAAACACCTCCCCTGCTTACACTACATTTATGGATGCTTTTACGACATGCATTCCAAAGGTGATTTGGTTATTCCTCATGTTGGTATTTAACCTGAAATGCCATAGCTCAACGCATAGCTCAACAAATGATTTACAGCTCCAAATGACTGACAGTATGCTTATTGCTCATGTAGTTGTTTCCCCATCAAATCAAATCAAATTTGATTGGTCGCATACACATATTTAGCAGATGTTATTGCGGGTGTAGCGAAAGGCTTGTAAAACAAAATGCTGGTGAGTTACTGCCGCTGTAATATCCAAAAGTTATTTCCGGCTGTATGTAATAATGCAAAGGACGATCTGAGCTACAGTAATAAGATGAGAAATAACCCCCCCCCCCCAAAAAAAAAATAATAATAATATATATATATATATATATATATATATATATATATATATATATATATATATACTGCAAAGTTGGTAGAGTTACAGAGAGAGGGAGACAATAAGCCAAAGAGACTAGACACCTTGTCATTGGGTTAAGTGATGGAAAATAACATTGATGAATGCAGTGTTAGAAGGCCCTGAGGCAGTAACCTTTAAGGGAAAGGGAGATACCTAGTCAGTTGTACAACTGAATGCATTCAACTGAAATGTGTTTTCCACATTTAACCCAACCCCTCTGAATCAGAGAGGTGCGGGGGTCTGCCTTAATCGACATCATCGGCACCTGGGGAACAGTGGGTTAACTGCCTTGCTCAGGGGCAGAACGATAGATTTTTACCTTGTCATCACGGGGATTCGATCCTTTAACCTTTCGGTTGCTGGCCAAAAACTCCTACCCGCCAGGCTACCTACCTATTTTGCATTGATAACTAAAAATAATCTCAGCGTCCTTACAGATATCTGTGATTGAGGTGTTAATGTGCAGGAAGCGTGCCCTAGGGTGTAAGGGTTGGTGTGAGGTGTGACCCAGGTGCGGTGCAGGATAGACAGTAGGCAGTAGGCAGAGATGGTGAAACAAGGATCTTTACTGGTGGTCCAAAAGCCAGGATACAAAACAACGGACTATACACGAAACAAATGAGGAGCACATAGGTCTCAAAAAAAAGGGGAAGTGAGGGCATAAATACTTAGGTGAATCAGATAGCCACAGGTGACACCAATAGGCAGATAATTAGTCCCGACTGTGAGTGAGGAGGTGGCTATGGTTGTCGGAGGATGACACCTAGTGGGTCGGTCCGGAACTGCGAACCAATCCTGTAACACCAGGGGGAATTCTCTTCTCTCACCACCCCCCCTCTCTCTTTGGTATTTCAGGGAAGATTTCATGGGTGGTATTACATGGTTAACAGTACTCACCACGGAACCATGTGTCAATTACATTTTCATATTGGTTGGCCCATTAAACCTCATAGGCAATGGCCAACTCTTGCAGTCTGCTGGCCAGTGTGTTAGTGTGTCTGACAGAAGGGTGCTTTGTGCTTGTCTCTCGCAGGCCGCTGAGCTAGGAGAATTCACTGCCAAAATCGCTCTGCTTGAAGAGGCCAAGAGGAAGAAGGAAGAGGAGGCGACCGAATGGCAACACAAAGTAACGGTTAACTCTGCTACCGCTCTCTGATCCAGTGGAGGCTGCTGAGGGGAGGATGGCTCATAAAAATGGCTGAAATGGAGTTGATGGAATGGTATCAAACATATGGTTTTCATGTGTTTGATACCATTCCATTCACTCCATTCAAGCCATAATACTTTGTTCCAGCCATTATTATGAGCCGTCCTCCCCTCAGCAGCCTCCACTACTTTGACCCCCCCCCCATGCACCCTGCCCTGCCCCCTGGGACTGACACATTAATAAATAATAGTGTCTGTATCCAAATGTGTGGGGGTGTATGGCCTCAAACCAAATCATTTAACAGCATTCATAAGATCTAATGTACACTGAACAAAAATATAAACGCAACATGTAAAGTGTTGTCCCCATGTTCCATGAGCTGAAATAAAACATCCCAGAAATGTTCCATACGCACAAAAAGCTTATTTCTCTCAAATTTTGTGCACACATTTATTTATATCCCTGTTAGTGAGCATTTCACCTTTGCCAAGATAATCCATCCACCTGACAGGTGTGGCATATCAAGAAGCTGCCATGCCCACAATGCATCTATGATTACCAGTCCCTGTGCTACCCAGCTATGCCACTAGCAACCTGCTGCTCCAGTTGAGGACTATGACAACAAGGCCTCCCCTGCTGAAAAGGTTATCCAACCTTGCCCTGCACTCCTCAGAACCACCTTTCAAAGCCACCATTCATCCTTCCTTCACCAGCCGTCAAGGATTTTTTTAAAACTCTCATATGGTAGTATAACAATAATGGTGTTAGGGCAGTTTTTGTAATTTTAAAGTTTCTTGTTTGAAGAGTGACTGAGTCTGATTTAATGAATAAACGGTTAGCTAGCTGCGCGGTATTGGCTAGGCTGCTGGTGGCGTTAGCTCTGGCTGTGAGTTTCAGGAGTAGCTAGCCTCGTCTGATATGCAGCTACGGTAATATTCAAACTAACTAACTACAGCTAGGAAAAAAGGGTAATTAAGCATGTCCAAATGTAGCACAGTAACAGGACAAAAAAATATGTCCACTGCCAGCCAACCCACTAGTCAGCATGGGGATGCTGTTGTTCTGACACTGTGTGGACCCGTCACCCAGAACACACATCCCACCCCTCATGTCTCATGTCAGTATGAAAAATGTATGCACTTACTAACTGTAAGTCGCTCTGGATAAGAGCGTCTGCTAAATGACTAAAATGTAAATGTAAATGTAAACAGCATGATCATTACACAGGTGCATCTTGTACTGAAGACAATAAAAGGCCACTCTAAAATGTGCAGTTTTGTCACACAACACAATGCCACAGATGTCTCAAGTTTTGAGGGAGCGTGCAATTGGCATGCTGACTGCAGGAATGTCCACCAGAACTGTTGCTAGAGAATTGAATGTTCATTTCTCTACCGTAAGCCGCCTCAAACGTCGTTTTAGAGAATTTAGCCTCACAACCGCAGACCATGTGTATGGCGTTGTGTGGGCGAGCTGTTTGCTGATGTCAACGTTGTGAGCAGAGTGCCCCATGGTGGAGGTGGGGTTATGGTATGGGCAGGCATAAGCTACAGACAATGAACACAATTGCATTTTATTCATGGCAATTTGAATGCACAGAGATACCGTGAAGAGATCCTGAGGCCTATTGTCGTGCCATTCATCCACCGCCATCACCTCATGTTTCAGCATGATAATGCACGGACCCATGTCGCAAGGATCTGTAAACAATCCCTGGAAATTGAACATGTCCCAGTTCTTCCATGGCCTGCATACTCACCAGACATGTCACCCATTGAACATGTTTGGGATGCTCTGGATCGACGTGTACGTCAGCGTGCTCCAGTTCCCACCAATATCCAACAATTTAGCACATTGTCATTGAAGAGGAGTGGGACAACTCTCCACAGGCCACAATCAACAGCCTGACCAACTCTATGCAAAGGAGATGAGTCGCACTGCATGATGCGAATAGTGGTCACACCAGATACTGACTGGTTTTCTGATCCACGGCCCTACCTTTTTTTTAAAGGTATCTGATACCAACAGATGCATATCTGTATTCCCAGTCATGTGAAATCCATAGATTAGGGCCTAATGAATTTCTTTTAATTGACTGATTTCCTTATATGAACTGTAACTCAGTAAAATCTTTGAAATTGTAGTATGTTGCATTTATATTTTTGTTCAGTATATGTATGTGTAAGAGCTAACTGAGGTTGAAATTGTGTGCGTGAGCCAGAACAAGATGTTTTTACGATGTAATTGTGTCCCTTATTTGCATGTTAACCCCCTAGTTTAGTATGTGTGTGTCTGCATGAGTGTTTTATTGTTTTTGGAAAGTCTCTGGTCTACTCAGGTCCTACACCTGCATGCCCTTTAAATACTGGTGTCCTTGTCTTTTGACAAAGTTGTCTTGAAATGTGTTGGTGTATGAGTTTGTGTGTGTGTAAGCAAGAATGTCTGTGTTGCCTGTTCCAAATAGAATATTGAAATGTGTCAGTACTGTATGATTGTTATTTATGATACAATAGATTAGTACTTTATTGAACGCCAAGTGACAATCAGTGATTCCCACATGAACCCCCCCCCCAGGCCATCTCAGCCCAGGAGGACCTGGAGAAGACTAAAGAGGAGCTGAAGTCTGTGATGTCATCACCCCCGGCGCCGGAGCAGGATGAGCAGGATGAGACTAACGCAGAGGGCAGCACCGAGCTGCACAGTGATGGGATCACCAGCCACCGCAGCGAGGAGGAACGTGTCACAGAGGCCCAGAAGAACGAACGCGTCAAGAAACAGCTGCAGGTAGGCTAAGGAAGACGTGGTCTCACTTCATTAGGATGGATAGACCCCTAGAGGCTCAAACTGTCAACAAGCTAAAAATCAAATACAATTGTATTGGTCACATACACATAAATTATTTAGCAGATGTTATTGTGGGTGTAGTGAAATGCTTGTAGCTATCAACGCTTGTAGTCATCAACTGCAAAACATTTTTAGGATTATGGTTAGGCCTAGGGCTAGTGTTGGGGTTAGTAGATCAACAGTTTGCTGATAATTTGTTGAACTATACACCATCTGTCTGCAACTATCAAAATGAAGTGTTCTCTCTCTTCCCCTCTACCTCTTTGTCAGGCTCTGAGTTCAGAGTTGGCCCAGGCGAGGGACGACACCAAGAAGACCCAGAATGACATGCTACATGCAGAGAACGTGAAGGCTGGGCGGGACAAGTACAAGACCCTGCGCCAGATCCGCCAGGGCAACACCAAGCAGCGCATTGACGAGTTCGAATCCATGTGAGAGACTGCACCCTCCCACCCTCGCATTGCCATGACAACAGCTCGCTTTCTTGTACAGCCGATCCTGCCCATTCCCATCCCGTTCCCCCAAATCCCTACTTGCAAAAAGGCCAGAGGTGTGTGGATTCAATGTCCCACCCACTACGCCTTGCCAAAGCTCTGCCCACTAGCGGTTGGCCAATCAAACCACTCCATGCTTAGAGCTCCGTCCAACCACATCTGGAATTGTCCAATCTGGAATGGCAAGCAACATATCCTGCCGAAATGAACTTCTCCTTGAGCAAAGACTAATTTAACCCTTGCACGTCTGATGTAAGCATGGATTTTAAAAAGAATGTAGAGAGAAATTGTTTGGTATCGCTTTTATTGAGAGAATTGCCATTTGTAGCTTTTTGATGTCGCTGGCAAGCTTGTATGTAAAGCTTTAAATACCGTACCTTACTTTTTTTGTTTGTCATCAGTTGAATAATTTAAATTGTTTTCTAAAAAAAAAACGTCCTTATTTGTCTCATTTCATTTACATTACTTTAGTTTTGGTTTCATATTTAACTGTGGTGAGTTAGCTGTGCTCTAGCCATGGGTCAGCTGATGTTGAACCAATGGTTTAATTCCTCCAGAATTTGGACACAGCGTTTTATTTGTCCCTTCTAACCTGTACGTTTGATGTGTTCACCATCCATTGAAGCTTTTGTTAACATTTATAGATTTTGGTCCACGATAAAGAATCCATGTTTATTTCTTACTTCCAGTCAGTCAAAGTATTCATCCCAGGTTGGATGAGGGTAGAATGGGAGGGAGGCGGCAGTTCAATATTATATGGACGGAGTGGTATGAGGAACTGTTTATTTTGAACATTCCAGATGCGTCACCTTCCAGGCATTTTAAGAATGGGAGAAGGGAAAATAACCATAAAACTGCCTGAGATATTTTAGTGCTCTAAATCATGGTACAGACACTAAGGTTATGTAAAAAAAGTATCTGTCTAGCACCTCCTACAACTGGTAAAACAGTCTCTCTAGTCTAGACCGACGGGTTGCCTCCCACAATGTAACCAATGTTGCAGTCTGGGAATTCCGAGACTAGGTAAAATGGTAATGTCAACTGTGTTTTCCTTAAATGTCAACCACAGTACAGTATGTACTATATGTACCGATCTCTTCTTGATGTCAAATCATTTAAGTGAAACCCGTAACTCTAACGTGGTGGTAACCCTTCCAAAGAACATGTGCAGTGTTTTATTTAGTGTTGTGGATGAGAACACTAGGTTATTCATTCAACTTTATCACCACAGTAAATGAACAACCATTTAATTTTAAATTTAATTTCAGATGTCAGAGTTGATTTATGTACGCATGATCTTCAGACATTCCGTTCAGTATGATAATAATACAAAAAAATATAAAACTTGTAAAGAATATTTCAGGTAGGCCTACTTGATTTGACATGTAAAGGTGGAGGAAAGTCTAGCATTATTATCATGATGTTGAAATGACAAGCTTCTTATTAAGTGTCATTACAGTGAATTACTATTATTATCCTGTCAAGCCATTCAGTGTAGGCTACGGTACATGTCTGACATATGCCCCAGAGTGTTGAAATATCATTATCACATGATGATACACACATGCCCCACTAACATGCTACCGTATCTAAATTAACCTGAGCACCATTTTGGCAGCAAACACATCCCTTCCCCCCCAAAACATGACTCATCGTCACCACCCGAAAGCTTGAGGAAGGCTTTATTGCTTTATTATTCATAACACTAAGGAGTCAACATTTTCCATTTGGCCTCAGTTCCCTGAATCGGCAAGTAAGTCTGCTACACAGGCCAGAGTATCATAAAGAGTCAAATGCTCTGGGGTTACAGTACTTAAAGCTCATTGTTTTGTCTCCCCCATTCACATACAGAACAGTCACTAAGGCAAAAACATCAGGTCACAGTTCTCCATTTTCCTCCATTACATTTTGGCTTGAAATGACCCATGTTCACTTGTGAAGAGAGGATCATCATAATACATACATAAATATCATAGGCTAACCCTCAATCATTTTGCGGATTGCTTTGGTCCCTGACGGAATACTGCATCCCAACCTTGTTTTTTTGCACTTTTAAAAGGCATTCATTAGATTTAACAGTTTTATTGTAGCACAAATGATGTTGGATTTAAAGCACAGCAGGGATGAATATTTAAATAAATTATACATGGCATTGGAGAAGTGTCTGACATTAACTTTATTGTTTTTTACCTGAATTGTAGGCCTTGGATACAGACTGACACAATGAAACAAACAGTCAAATAGAATAATATACTAACCAGTCAGACGAAATAAAATAAAATCAACCAAAATCCAAAGAAATTGGTGGAAGTAATTCAACCAAGTACTGTATCCAAAACCCAGCACATATACCACAGGAGGTTGGTGGCACCTTAAATGGGGAGGACGGGCTCATGGTAATGGCTGGAGCGGATTAAGTGGAATGGTATCAAAAACATCAAACACATGCTTTCCATGTGTTTAATTCCATTCCATTCACTCCGTCCAGCCATTATTATGAGCCGTCCTCCCCTCAGCAGCCTCCACTGACATACAGTATACATACACTGTCTGCAAACTGAACACAAGTCACTTCATCAAAGGGTCTTTCATTATACCAGAGATGAACGGTACAGTACAGGCCATATCCAGTGACACTGAGGAAAACCACCCAAACAATTCCCCTCAAATCTCTTAATGCTGACAACAAATTAAAATCAGAACATGTAAAAAGAGTTACTTTTTTAACTGAACATGGTTCAGGCTATCATCAGATGTGTTTAAAAAAAAGCACAATGCCATGTAGAGGCATTTACTACTCTGCCACACACCGGACCACACTGGCACATAGTGCCCTAGAAAGGTGCTAGACGTTGCTCAGCTCAAAACCAATAGGCCAACCAACAGGGGACCAGAAAATAACACTGTTGTTGAGTGACTTGTCATCTAATACTATCACTGTGTGAATGGACATGGTTTGTTAAAAAATTGAAAAATAAAAATATTTTAACCTTTTGGCTCCAGAGACTAAGTACTGTCTTTGTCAAGTCAGCTGTGTTCCACTGTTCCTCTGAAGGGATAGACTTAGTTTGAAGAGAGAGCTGAGAACCACGGTACAGAAATATGTTAAGTGAAAGATCATGACTGTCAATACAGGCTGACTCACATGACTGAGACCACCCAACCACCTTTTCCTGCTGGTCAGTGCTATCCAGAATGCTTGGGACATCCCTACCTTAAACCCTAACCCCCATCCTAACCTTAACCATTACCTAACCCTAACCTTAACCCTTACCATTTCAAATGTCAACTTCAATGGGGTAGGGACGTCCCAAGGATCCCAGATATCACCGACCTTTTTCTGTCCTCTCTTAAAACACAATTTAAAAAATCCCAAAATATATACTGAACAAAAATAAAACAACGGTTTATGGTAGAGAAATGAACATTCAACAGCTCTGTTGGACATTCTGCAGTCAACATGCCAATTACACACTCCCTCAAAACATGAGACATCTGTGTCATTGTGTTGTGTGACAAAACTGCACATTTTAGAGTGGCCTTTTATTGTCCCCAGAAGAAGATGCACCTGTGTAATGATCATGCTGTTTAATCAGCTTCTTGATATGCTACACCTGTCAGGTGGATGGATTATTTTGGCAAAAAAGAAATGCTCACTAACAGGGATGTAAACAAATTCGTGCACAACATTTGAGAGAAATAAGCTTTTTGTGCATATGGAAAATTTCTGGGATCTTTTATTTCAGCTCATGAAACATGGGACTAATACTTTACATGTTGCCTTTATAATTTTGTTCAGTATATTTTAGAACAGTAACAAATGTGACCAATTACGGCACATATACTCAAATACCTTTTGTATAAATATTCTCATATAAAACAATGATCTGGTTTAAGTTAATAGGATACAATTTGTATCAACAAGGAGAGGCATTCTCTTGTCCACTAAAGTTTGTAGTGGTCAGGTTACCTTGACAACACAAGTCCAGTGTTTTGGACTGTAATGGATAGATGTAGTCCCTGCTGTGTGTGAGTAAGGCACAGAGGTGTCATTGCCTAACTGTTTATTCTATTCACTGAGCGATAGTGACAACTTGCAATGGATTCTAAGCCAGGAGGTAGAGACTAGAAATACCCTGTCCACAGACTGAAGTTACAGTACTGCACTATCTGTTTGTCTGGATGGTTACACCTGACGTCTTCTCTTGCAATGATACTCTCTTCAACTAAAATACTCTTAATCATAACCAAATTGTCAAAGGGACAATAATAAATTAACACATTCATACGTTTAAATAAAATAATAAAAATGTACTTAAAAATTAACAGCGCACCTGCACTAGTTTGCATATCCTCAAGAACCATCTTGATATGATTTCAATGGCCAGAATGTTTTTTGGAGGACAAAGAAAAATGATTACAAAAATAAAATAAAATCAATATCGCAATCTTCCATGCTGGGCTCTCCCCAGAGAGGAACTAGCTCCTGTATGTCAGAGTAAACAATAATCTTGGGTTTTCACATGGACTTTATCAGGCCTTTAACAGCTGGAGTTCCTGTGTTTCACTTCTCTAAAGGGGAAATTAATCAAATCTTTCAACAACGATATCAAATTCACCACCTTTTTTTACAATTATCTGATGAAAAAATGACTGAGCTAAAATGAAATCAGTGTAGCTTGGACCTATGTATTTCCTTTGTCTTTTAGTGTAAAATGTTTGGAAGTGTAATTTTATGACGACAAACCATACCCTAGGAATCCCAGAATTCACCCTGTCTTGACACCTCAGGACATTCCCTAACTCTGAAACACCCTGAAACACTTGAGCCCTCCTTACCCTATGATAAAAAATAAATCATAACAAATCAATGAAAAGTGCCATAACAAAATATAAAAAGCTATAGAAATAATTTAAAACATATTACAAAATAAATAACTTAAAGCAACACATCCCATTCAAAGAGTCTCCGGAATACCGTGACACACATGCTCACACTCACCCACCATAAACCATCCTGACCTTAAGTGCTGGAAGTGTTCTCATACCGCACAACAGTAACGAACGAGCAGGGCAGTGACATACAACAATAAGGTTTAAAAAAGAAAATTTGATGGAAAAGATAAAGCATCTTCCCCTGCATCGTAGATGTTTTTGAGGGACTATAGAGTTGAGCACGCCACTTCCCTTCCTCTACTACAGTAGTGTCAGTGCTCAGTAACCAGCCTGGGACTTCTCAGCCAGGATGGCTGCAGCCAGCTGCTGGGCGTCCATCACATGGGGGTTCCTCACCATCACCACCCTCACCAACTCTGGGGGGAAGATGTTACACAAGTTGACAAACACATTCTCCCTCACATCCTGGTATCTGCCCAGGGCCGGGGGCTCCTGGTGCTGGGGGGCCGTGGAGGGGTGGGGAAGAGGTGGAGGGGGAGGATGGGAGGAGGAAGGGGGTTGAGGATGGGGCGAGTGTGTTCCCCTGGGCCAGGGCGAGTGCCAGGGTTGTTTGCGGACCTCAGGCAGGGACTGGAAAGTGAAGGGCTCGTAGCAGGCCTGGGAGGGATGCTGGTAGTGGGGGTCCCATCTGGCCAGCCGCTGCTCCTGTCCCGGCCCAGGGTAGATCCTCCTGGGGTGGACAGTGGATTGCTCGTAGAGGCTGTTGTTGTCCTGCCAGTTGGAGCCCCCCAGGTTATGCCCCAGAGGAGAGCTGTGAGAGTGGGAGTGGGGGCTGGAGGACTGGGATAGAGGTTGGGGAGGGTAGTTCCCAGAACAGCCAGAGTGGCCCCCCACAGACGGTTGCTGAATATGGGGAGGAAGGAAGGAGAGCTGGGCCTTGAAGTGGTGGAGAGAGGAGGGAGGATCCTCCAGGCTGCTCTGAGCTAGAGGGTAGCCATGGTGGGAGCCTCCATGGGGGTGCTGGGTCAGACCAGGGGGTGGGTGGTTGGGGTGGTGTGGGTAGCGGCTAGGGCAGTGATGGTGGTGGTGATGGGGGTGGTGGTAGTGGCACTTGAGGCTGTCATCCAGCAGGGGATCAGGGGAGAAGGAGTCAGAGCTCACGCTGCCCTCGCTGCTGCAGTCAGACACCAGTGAGCCAGTCCGTAGGTCAGCTGGGAACAGCCGCTCGGGGCTCCGCGGCACCACCAGGCTTAGGCTGGAGTAGGCCCTCATCAGGGAGTGGTAGCTTAGCTCCGGGGATTCACAGGTGGAGTATGACTTCGAGTGACCAAGCCCCAACAGCCCTGGAGCTCTGGAGGAGCCGTTCCCCCAGTCCTGCAGAGAGAAGCCGTGGCTGGAAGGAGGTCCCCCAGGGGCAGAGGCCAGGAGGCTGCTGCTAGAGCTGCTGCTACTGCTGCTGCTACTCCCTCTGCGGGCCTCTGCTTTAGTCCTCCTGCCCAGACGCTCTTCCAGGAGGTCGCTGCAGGAGGGAGTCCGAAGGCCAGGGTCCGACTGTCTCTTCGGGGGAGCTCGGCGGGGGTCTGGGAGCCCGTCTACCCTGGAGCTCTTGGACATGCTATGACTCTTCACAATCAGAGCCTCGTCCAGGCTCTTGGAGGAAGAGGTAGATGAAGAGGAGTTCTTGGCACTGGCACGCAGCTCGTCGGCCACAGAGCGCTGCGGCTGACTGCCTCTCTCAGGGTGGTAGAACTTACACTTGTGGCCGTAAGTGCACTTCTTCCCTAAGGAGAGAATACAGGATGGTTAACTCTCAATCATAAGACAAGCCAGAGGAGGCTGGATGAATAATGCATAAGAGAGAATGGCTAGGTGTTACCATAGGGGCAGGGCTGCTTCCTGTGTTCTGGGATCACTGGTCTCTTCCTCAGGAAGTTCTCCAGACTGGGACCATGGCGACCCAGAGGATCATCAGGAGGCATGAACCTGGACACAGCCACATACCAGACACACCATCAGATAACCACATATCAATCCCCCTGGAAAAACAACTGCAGATACTAATAGTTATAGGCTCTTTGTCCATTGTGTTGGTGGGACTTCCATACTTGTCGTTGACGAACGTGTACATGAGCAACCGCTCGTCGATGAACTTCTTCCACTCTGGCTTCTCATTGGCCAGGTCCCGATAGTTGTCGTTAGAGACGATGATGCCGTCGGACTCGTAGGCCAGCTTGACGATGAAGCGGTCATCGTAGCAGACCACCCGGCGGCCCTGGACCCGACGAGATGGAGTGAACACAAGGATCTTGTCTTTCTCCAGACGTCGCAATATCTCCTGGTCTAGAGAGAGAAGAGAGAGAGAGAGAAGAGAGAGAGAGAGGGATATGCATTATGCAGCCATAATTTACATTCAGAAACATGCCACAAGTTTCTAGATAACTATGTGATCACGTAGCCGATGTGAGTAAGACTTTTAAGCAGGTCAACATTCACAAGGCCGCAGGGCCAGACGGATTACCAGGACGTGTACTCCGAGCATGTGCTGACCAACTGGTGTCTTCACCGACATTTTCAACATGTCCCTGACTGAGTCTATAATACCATCATGTTTCAAGCAGACCACCATAGTCCCCGTGCCCAAGGACACTAAGACAACCTGCCTAAATGACTACCGACCCGTAGCACTGACATCTGTAGCCATGAAGTGCTTTGAAAGGCTGGTCATGGCTCACATCAACACCATTATCCCAGAAACCCTAGACCCACTCCAATTTGCATACCGCCCCAACAGATCCACAGATTATGCAATCTCTATTGCACTCCACACTGCCCTTTCCCACCTGGACAAGAGGAACACCTACGTGAGAATGCTATTCATTGACTACAGCTCAGCGTTCAACACCATAGTGCCCTCAAAGCTCATCACTAAGCTAAGGATCCTGGGACTAAACACCTCCCTCTGCAACTGGATCCTGGATTTCCTGACGGGCCGCCCCCAGGTGGTAAGGGTAGGTAACAACACATCTGCCACGCTGATCCTCAACACGGGGGCCCCTCAGGGGTGCGTGCTCAGTCCCCTCCTGTACTCCCTGTTCACCCATGACTGCATGGCCAAGCACGACTCCAATACCATCATTAAGTTTGCCGACGACACAACAGTGGTAGGCCTGATCACCGACAACGATGAGACAGCCTATAGGGAGGAGGTCAGAGACCTGGCCGTATGGTGCCAGGATAACAGCCTCTCCCTCAATGTGACCAAGAGAAAGGAGATGATTGTGGACTACAGGAAAAAAAAGAGGACTGAGCACGCCCCCATTCTCATCGTCGGGGCTGTAGTGGAACAGGTTGAGAGCTTCAAGTTTCTTGGTGTCCACATCACCAACAAACTATCATGGTCCAAACACACCAAGACAGTCGTGAAGAGGGCACGACAAAGCCTATTCCCACTCAGGAGACTGAAAAGATTTGGCATGGGTCCTCAGATCCTCAAAAAGTTATACAGCTGCACCATCGAGAGCATCCTGACTGGTTGCATCACCGCCTGGTATGGCAACTGCTCGGCCTCCGACCGCAAGGCACTACAGAGGGTAGTGCGTACGGCCCAGTACATCACTGGGGCCACATTTCCTGCCATCCAGGACCTCTATACCAGGCGGTGTCAGAGGAAGGCCCTCAAAATTGTCAAAGACTCCAGCCACCCTAGTCATAGACTGTTCTCTTTGCTACCGCACGGCAAGCGGTACCGGAGCGCCAAGTCTAGGTCCAAATGGCTTCTCAACAACTTCTACCCCCAAGCCATAAGACTCCTGAACAGCTAATCATGGCTACCCGGACTATTTGCACTGCCCCCCCCACCCCCACCCAATCTTTCTACGCTGCTGCTACTCTGTTAATTATTTATGCATAGTCACTTGAACTCTACCCACATGTACATATTACCTCAACTACCTCAACTAGCCGGTGCCCCCGCACATTGACTCTGCACCGGTACCCCGCTGTATATAGCCTCCCTACTGTTATTTTATTTTACTTCTGCTCTTTTTTTCTCATCACTTTTTTTGTGTTGTTGTTTTATTCTACTTTTTTATTTAAAAATGAATGCATTGTTGGTTAAGGGCTGTAAGTAAGCATTTCACGGTAATGTCTACACCTGTTGTATTCGGCGCATGTGGCAAATAAAATTTGATTTGATTTGATTTGATGGGTTATGCAATACAGTATAAAAGCCTATTTATGCTTGATCCGAAATGTGGTGGGAGGCTCTGTATGGAGGGTGTGACGCAGTTGCAGAGGCCAACTTGAGCTCTGTACCACGTCACCATGCGCCTCTCAAATTTTGTAACAATGCGGAGGGCTCTGTATAGCTCCATATAGCTCTGCATTGACATGGTTGGGTGACGGTAGGTGGGGGCGGGAGGTCCTGTATAAATACAAAATCACTTCCTTGACAACTTCCTTCACAACAGCTCTGCGCTGCTCTCCGAAGTGCAAGAAGTATGAATGCCCTGACTTCTGCAGAGGCTGTATCACCGTAAATGCTGCATGGCCGTCGGATTGACCATGCAGCGCCTTTAACGGTGAGATGTCATATGAAATATGTAACTTATACAGTATAAGATAAACTAGGAACTTGGGTGCAGAAATCGACTATGGCTTCAGACTTTTAGTCTGGTGAGATGTAAAAACCAATGAATTCATGTGTTTCTCCTCTGATGAAACATTTCAATGTCAAGTAGCCTAAAACCATGGCTCGGCTTTTGCCTATAGAGAATGTTAATGTACGCAATTCCCACCTATATGCAAATCAGCAATGATATCGGTAAAAGGTTAGACAAGTTTATAACAGTCTAAAGTGGCTACAGGGTTGTTCTTGAATTGCTGTGGCATTTGCATCCCTCGCCTTTGCAACTATGAAAAACACTTTAAAATGACAAATAGTTACACATCAGACATGTCTTTGTTTATATTGAACGGTTTATCAATGATAAAACATAATGCAAGTCCTTTATACTGCAAAGATGTATTGTTCAAAGTACCTAGGGCATGCAAATTGGCTTATCCCAGTAGTGATGAGTAGAGTTGTGGTAACATATTTTGGGGATTTAGAGACATCTAACTTATATTTTGAATGTAGACAAAAAGAAGGTAAGTAATAGAAAGTAAACAAATATAACATGTGTACCTAAGTTTTATGTCATTGGTGTTACCTCCTTGGAAATCACCGCCAAAGATATACAAGGACCTTGAGCATTCCCTCCAGTGGCAAAGTGTTATCTATATTAAGGAAAATTATTAGCTAATCAAACCCTTGTATGTCATACATTTAAGGGATTCCGTTGATAATTTGGTGCGCCTAAATACAAAGTATCATTGGTGTTACTCAATTTAAATTAAGGGAAATTACACTGTGAGCAAAATTATGAATCTTATCCTCCTGAGACCCAGCAATTCATTTTTGTCCTCTCTAGTGGACATCAGTTCTTGGTCCGTATCTCTGAGGCCATACAAGCCACTGTATTAAGTCCTGTTGTCCCTTTGAGAGGACATTATTTTTATTTTTTATTTTATTTTATTTCACCTTTATTTAACCAGGTAAGCCAGTTGAGAACAAGTTCTCATTTACAACTGCGACCTGGCCAAGATAAAGCAAAGCAGTGCGATAAAAACAACAACACAGAGTTACATATGGGGTAAAACAAAACATAAAGTCAAAAATACAACAGAAAATATATATACAGTGTGTGCAAATGTAGCAAGTTATGGAGGTAAGGCAATAAATAGGCTATAGTGCAAAATAATTACAATTAGTATTAACACTGGAATGATAGATGTGCAAGAGATGATGTGCAAATAGAGATACTGGGGTGCAAATGAGCAAAATAAATAACAATATAGGGATGAGGTAGTTGGGCGGGCTAATTTCAGATGGGCTGTGTACAGGTGCAGTGATCGGTAAGGTGCTCTGACAACTGATGCTTAAAGTTAGTGAGGGAGATAAGTGTCTCCAGCTTCAGAGATTTTTGCAATTTGTTCCAGTCATTGGCAGCAGAGAACTGGAAGGAATGGCAGCCAAAGGAGGTGTTGGCTTTGGGGATGACCAGTGAGATATACCTGCTGGAGCGCATACTACGGGTGGGTGTTGCTATGGTGACCAATGAGCTAAGATAAGGCGGGGATTTGCCTAGCAGTGATTTATAGATGGCCTGGAGCCAGTGGGTTTGGCGACGAATATGTAGTGAGGACCAGCCAACAAGAGCGTACAGGTCACAGTGGTGGGTAGTATATGGGGCTTTGGAGACAAAACGGATGGCACTGTGATAGACTACATCCAATTTGCTCAGTAGAGTGTTGGAGGCTATTTTGTAAATTACATCGCCGAAGTCAAGGATCGGTAGGATAGTCAGTTTTACGAGGGCATGTTTGGCAGCATGAGTGAAGGAGGCTTTGTTGCGAAATAGGAAACCGATTCTAGATTTAACTTTGGATTGGAAATTCTTAATGTGAGTCTGGAAGGAGAGTTTACAGTCTAACCAGACACCTAGGTATTTGTAGTTGTCCACATACTCTAGGTCAGACCCGTCGAGAGTAGTGATTCTAGTCGGGTGGGCGGGTGCCAGCAGCGTTCGATTGAAGAGCATGCATTTAGTTTTACTAGTGTTTAAGAGCAGTTGGAGGCTACTGAAGGAGTGTTGTATGGCATTGCAGCTCGTTTGGAGGTTTGTTAACACAGTGTCCAATGAAGGGCCAGATGTATACAAAATGGTGTCGTCTGCGTAGAGGTGGATCTGAGAGTCACCAGCAGCAAGAGCGACATCATTGATATACACGGAGAAAAGAGTCGGCCCAAGAATTGAACCCTGTGGTACCCCCATAGAGACTGCCATAGGTCCAGACAACAGGCCCTCCGATTTGACACATTGAACTCTATCTGAGAAGTAGTTGGTGAACCAGGCGAGGCAGTCATTTGAGAAACCAAGGCTATTTAGTCTGCCAATAAGAATGCGGTGGTTGACAGAGTCGAAAGCCTTGGCCAGGTCGATGAAGACGGCTGCACAGTACTGTCTATTATCGATCGCGGTTCTAATATCGTTTAGGACCTTGAGCGTGGCTGAAGTGCACCCATGACCAGCTCGGAAACCGGATTGCATAGCGGAGAAGGTACGGTGGGATTCGAAATGGTCGGTGATCTGTTTGTTAACTTGGCTTTCAAAAACTTTCGAAAGGCAGGGCAGGATGGATATAGGTCTGTAACAGTTTGGATCTAGAGTGTCACCTCCTTTGAAGAGGGGGATGACCGCGGCAGCTTTCCAATCTCTGGGGATCTCAGATGTTACAAAAGAGAGGTTGAACAGGCTAGTAATAGGGGTTGCAACAATTTCGGCGGCTAGTTTTAGAAAGAAAGGGTCCAGATTGTCTAGCCCAGATGATTTGTAGGGGTCCAGATTTTGCAGCTCTTTCAGAACATCAGCTGTCTGGATTTGTGTGAAGGAGAAGCGGGGGGGGGGGGGCATGGGCAAGTTGCAGTGGAGGGTGCAGAGCTGGTGGCCGGGGTAGTGGTAGCCAGGTGGAAAGCATGGCCAGCCGTAGCAAAATGCTTGTTGAAATTCTCGATTATTGTAGATTTATCGGTGGTGATAGTGTTTCCTAGCCTTAGTGCAGTGGGCAGCTGGGAGGAAGTGCTCTTATTCTCCATGGACTTTACAGTGTCTGGGCTTTTCAATGATATCACATGTTTTGGGGTGTGACCTTGACAACTTTATCTTCCTGGTAAAAAAGAAAAATGTCTGCCGTCAAAATTAGCACATTTTATGGAAATGTTATGATTTAAAACAGGAGTGAGGGTGGGGTTTAATCAAAATAAGATGGGGGGTTTGGTGGGGAGTTATGGAATGTTGGGGGTGCACATGGAAATGTTGGTTTACCTGTGATGAGGGCGTCCGGTCTGGACTGTTCCTTTCTCCAGGCGGGCACAAATACAGTGATGTCATGGTGACCACGCTCCAGGAACCAATCAACAGCCAACTGGATGCCGTGACAGGAGAACACTTCCTTATTCCCATGGCTGTGGAGAAACATACACAAATTCATGGTTATGATTCATTATTTCTATAGTACTATGGAATATAGATCAGGAGAGCAAGTGGATTGAGTGGATGAGGTTTTTCAGAGAGAAAAGTAACCTGAATAAAGTGTTTCTGAATGCAGCAGCAGTTGGTGTTGACTCACCTCATGGCTACATTACTCCCATCCAACACCACAGGCCTGATGTTCTCCTTGTCATCCAACAGTAGCTGGGAGGAGAAGTCCAGCCTGCAGGAGTCCAGAGAGGATGAGGATAAAGAGGAGGAGGAGGGCGACTGGGAGGCGGCCGACCCCCCAGCTTGATCCGTCTCTGACTTGGTGCCCAGTTTGACCAGTTCTCCCAGTATGTCATTGATGAGGGCGTCAGGCCCTAGCTTCCGCACCACCAGCAGAACCAGCTCCTCAGAGTAGCCCAGCTTCAGGGCAAACTCCATCTTGGAGTGGTACTCAGTGAGGGGGTTGGTGGAGTGTTTGGGGTCCCTAGAGTGGGGGCTCTGTGCCGGGCCCAGCTCAGCAGGGTGACAGGGGTGCGGGTGAGGGGTCTGAGCATCAGAACCAGAGCCATGTTGGAGCCCCCGCTCATCCTCGCTGTCCGACGCAGCACTCTCTTCAGAGGAGTTACTACAACTACTACTACTGCTGATGCTGCTACTACTGACACTGCTATGGGTGCCTCCCACCTCCGTCTCATCCCCCTCCAAGGCTCCAGAGTGGGTGTTGACTGTGGCACTCAAGCTGGCCTGGCGGTCGGTGCCTTCCACGTGGAGGTAGTCCAAATCCAGCCCCAGGTTGAGGATGCGGCCTGTTTCATCCTCCAGATGGTCCTTCAGGCCCATGAAGCTGTCTCATACATCCAGTGTCTGACACCGAACCTCTGACCCCGGACGACCCCAATGTCACTGCTGCTGATGGGCTGCTCTCTGACCAATCCTGGGATGTAAGCCTGTGGGAGAGTGAGAGGCAAAAAAGTTAGCCCATTGATCAGACTGGTTTCCCCCTGTAAATCTGGGGAATTTTCAATACTTTCCTATCTGAACCTTTCGTAATGTTACAATTAACCCCCGAGTGATTTGACTCCTATTTCCTAACATGTTGAGCTACTTTATAACAGCCAGCGTAAATCACTGGACCCAGCCCTCCCCTCAAACACCCATGCTACAGGCGGTAGGTAACATTGAGCCGTAGTAGAGTTATTAAGCATTAGACTGAATGATACACCAAATGCATTTCCAAAAGTGCAGGTTTAAAAACGGCATCTCCATCATTCACTTCCACTGATTTACATTTTAGAAGCGATGAGCTCAGCAGTCAGAGAAGCTCTCAATCAACGTCGGTGTTAACAACACACCGTGCTAAGACACACAAACCAAGCAGACTTGACACTCAATAACATACTCTACATTGCACCTACACCCAAACAGGAGAATGCAGTATGGGTGCATTTTTTTGTTCTTGACATGATTTAAAGGGAACTCTTTACATCCACCACCTGATATTCAAACTAGGATCAGTGGTCGCGTGCAGCCCCAGCTGGGGTTTGTGATTGGCTGAAACAAAGAAAGACCTGTTCTAATGGGCCAGCCTCCTAATTGCTCAGTGACCCCTTTAAAAGGGACATGTATCACAGCATCATCAGAGCACAGTGACACACTAATCTAGCGATCCAGGGCAACCTGGACTCAGGGGTAGACGTAATATAGTAAACGATTAGGGTTAGGGGTTAAGGTTAGGGTTAAGGTTAGGAGTTAGGTTAAAGGGTTAAGGTTAGGGTTAGGGGAAGGGTTAGCTAACATGCAAAATTGTTGCAAAGTAGCTAAAAAGTAGTAAGTAGTTGCACAGTTGCTAATTAGCTAAAATGCTAAAGTTGTCCGGGATGAGATTCGAACACGGAAACATTGGGTTGCTAGACGTTTGCGTTATACTATTTATTTAATCAATGTGCACAAGCAGTTGTCCTATAGCCCAGTATTTACACCAGACCACGGCACATCAAACTTAAGGGAATGTCTGGAGTGATATATAAGTGTGTATAAGTGTGTGTGTGTCTGCATGTATAAGTAGGGTAAAGGTAGGATCTCAGTACCGGAAAAAAAGCCCCCTAATGACCTGCCCCTCAGTATCCAAGCTGCTGCCCCATTGTGGGTCACTATGAATGCCACAAGAGAGTTGAAATAATTTAGTCCTCCATCAACAAAAGGGGCACAAAGAAAGCGAGAGTGTGTGCATGTGTGTGTGTGTGTGTAGGGGGGGGGGGGCAATATGGGGGGGCTAAAGTGTGTTTGGCTTGCTGTCCCCAAACAAAGCCGCTGCCATCCCAATCTGGACTCCTCCGACAGAGCATTGTTCCACAGCGCCGTGTGGTGTGCACAGACAGTGGATGGGGCTATTCAAACACACACACACACACACACACACCACACATACACACATACAATGACCCCGTCAGAATCAGAACAGACGTACTTGTGCGGGCCTGAGTCACTGCTCACCAGATGGAATCCACAAGTGTTTAAACATGATAAGACACACACTACACACACACACACCAACACACACACCAACACCAACACACACACCAACACACACACCAACACCAACACACACACCAACACACCTACCAACACCAACACACACACACCAACACCAACACACACACCAACACTACACACACACCAACATGAACACACACACCAACACTACACACACACCAACATGAACACACACACCAACACCAACACATACACCAACACTACACACACACTCTTATTCTCTCTCTCGAGCATAAACACAAATACACAACCTACACATTTTACCCAAACAATCTTCCAAACAAACACAGACACCATTAAAATATTCCACAAGCAGTGGATAAGGAGGTCAGATTATTTCCATGTTTCTAGCCATCATAGATCTACTCATTCTCCCCATAACTTCTGTAAGTTGCATAAATATGAGAGAAATGTTATCAGTAAGAAGATAAGTAGTGTGGTGCAGAAACTGAAGATCTCGTACATCGCTGTGTACTACTCCCTTCACAGAACAGCGCAAACTGGCTCTAACCAGAATAGAAAGAGGAGTGTGAGGCCCCGGTGCACAACTGAGAAAGAGGACAAATGCATTATAGAGTCTCTAGTTTGAGAAACAGGCGCCTCACAGGTCTTCAACTGGCAGCTTAATTAAATAGTACCCGCAAAACACCAGTCTCAACGTCAACAGTGAAGAGGCGACTCCGGGATGCTGACCTAGGCAGAGTTGGAAAGAAAAAGCCATATCTCAGACTGCCCATCTTAATCTTTTATTTTTATTGGCTAGTCTGAGATATGGCTTTTTCTTTGGTAGTAGGTGCCAGGCGCACCGGTTTCTGTCAAAAACTGCAACACTGCTGGGTTTTTCACGCTTAACAGTTTCCTGTGTGTATCAAGAATGGTCCACCACCCAAAGGACATCCAGCCAACTTGACACAACTGTAGGAAGCATTGGAGTCAACATGGGTCAGCATCCCTGTGGAACGCTTTCAACTCGTTGTAGGCTGGGCATCCTAAAGATGCAAGACACTATAATAATAAAAACTAGTTACAAAAATGTGATCTCTAATATATCATCTTAATGAGTTGTGAGTGGAGGTACTTACCTTACCACAAGTTTCTATCCAAGATTTTCCTAAAATGCCCTTACATCCCCAACTGAAAAACATAATCACTCAATGACTCACAAAATCTACACAACAATTAGCCAAACTGCAAACAATAACCACAGGCACAGGCAGTCCAAAAACTCCAAAACTTCTCTACCCTCTGCGCTCCCTCAGTCTCCAGCAAAGACGAGTGGAGGTAGATGTGAAGCTAGACTTCCAGCTTGTGAGAGATTCAAATAAAGACAAAGAATTCTATGGAAATATGGAAATAAAGGGCAAGCTAGATCTAGACATGGAGATGACTATAGAGATAGAGACAGAGATGGAAGTGGGAGTTAAGGTCTTACTACAGTGAGCAGATGCTGCAGCCTCCTCCTCAGTGTCCCAGCCTGCTGTACCTGGGGCTGGGAGAGAGAGCCAGGGTTAGCCCCCTAGGGCCCTGTTATCTCCCCTGGGGCTGGGGCAGACCTGACCTAGTCCCCTGGGCCAGGGCAGCCTCAGAATGCTGAGCCATGACACTCTGAAGTCTGCACTGAGCCAGGGACAAAGAAAGGGAGGTAGGAGGAGTGAAAGAGAGAGGGGGAGGAGGGAAAGGGGGGGGGTGTATAGGCAGCAGGGGCAACAGATGCCTACTGAAACCACAGGGGACCACGGCAACTGGCGCTCAGTAGAGGCTGATACATATCACCACTGTCATGTGACCCGGTAATGGACCTCACTTTCACCCCTCAGCACAGACATGGACACAAATTTCCATTTGCTCAGTCGCTCACTCACTTTATATTCTGACCCCCCTGTCTCTATCTCTCTCTAGCTTTTTTCTCTCTCTCTCTCTCAATTAAATTAAATTAAATTAAATGGGGCTTTATTGGCATGGGAAACATTGCCAAAGAAAATGAAATAAACAATCAACAAAAGTGAGAAGACACAAAACAACATCAACAAAAAACTATTAGAATGTAACAGTAAATATTGCACTCAAAAAGGTTTAACAAAGATCATGACATTTCAAGTGGTATATTATCAGCTATGTACAGTGTTTTAGCAATGTGCAAATAGTTGTAGTATGAATAGTTACTACTATAAAGATAAGATAAATAAACAGATAAATATTGGTGGTATTTACAATGTTGTTTGTGCTCCACTGGTTGCCCTTTTCTCATGGCAACGGGTCACAAATCTTGCTGCTGTGATTGCACACTGGGGTATTTCACCTAACAGATATGTGAGTTTATCAATGTTTGATTTGTTTTCAAATTCTTTGTGGGTCTGTGTGATCTGTGGGAAATCTGTATCTCTAATGTGGTCATACATTTGGCAGGAGGTTAGGAAGTGCAGCTCAGTTTCCACCTCATTTTGTGGGCAGTGGGCACATAGTCTGCCATGGCGGTCTCTTTCAATAGCAACACTCACTGAGTCTGTACATAGTCACAGTGGTCAGGTAGTCTCTCTCTGTCTCTCTCTCTCAGACAAAATATTCACTGTATCATAGACTACTGTATGTGAAAGTAAGTTTTATTTTATTTGTCAGCAATCCCTGACCTGTCTTTCCCTGTCATTAAACATGAAGACTGATGACTCTGAAAGCGCCTGACTACATGGATTGAACAAGTGAAATGAAAAACTTCAACACCAATATACTCCATCTTATATTGTCTACTCCAACACTGTTTTATGGGTTAGTGCGATCCTTGGGACATCCATACACTAAACCCTAACTTTAACCCCTTCCCCATAACCCTTGCCTAACCCTAACATTAACCCTTCCCTTAACCATTTTAAATGTAAACTTCAATGGGGTAGGGATTCCCTGGTTGCTATGTTCCGAGTATAAAAATTATAATATATGCCATTTAGATGGCCCCAGGAATCAAACCCACAACCCTGGAGGTGCAAGCACCATGCTCTACCAAATGAGCTACAGAGGACTACATAGCTATGTTTAGTACAATTAGCACGTTAAGTCTTTACTGTTTTACTGATAGTATACTGGTATGATTAAGTATAGTCTACTTATCAAGTAAATTATCATAGATATCAAATGAATAAATAATCAAACTGGGATAAAGCTTATCTATCATTAGATATATTTAAGATTGTTTCCCACCTAGAATTTGGAAAACAAAAACACTTAATCAAATACTTCTTACAGTAAATCACATAATCAATGAAAATGAACAATTGTGCACAAAACTGTGCAACGGACAGAGACCAGACAGAGAAAAACTAGATTTCAGATGTAGTTTTTACACCTGCTGTAACTATAAAATGAACTTATATAACTGCCTATACAAAAGTTTATTAAAAGA